GTGCACCAACAACACACTTGGGACACACGCAGGAGTCTGTTGATCCATTGGGTCAGGGACCTGAAAATATTTGAAATTGTTCTTTAGAGAAATAAAATAACCCACACTTTTCTTGAATCTCTGGGGTCTTTCGAAGTCCGTAGAAAGTCTTACGCAAGGAGACAAAGCTATTTTACCAGGCAGGCAGATATTCCAAATTACTGGTTCTTAACAAGCATGGTAATACATCAGTCAAAAGCAATAAATTTAAACTTAATGAAATCTCAATTTGCCTACAGTGCATTTCACTTTGACATTTTCTGCATTGCCACGGTGCTTTGATAAAGTTTTTTAAAATGCAAAGAAAGTGTCTGTAAGGCTAAAGAGCAGACTTGGTGCCATTGTGCCCAATGGAACATTACAGTACTTAAGTTCCATCACTATATGCCCTGTGGCAGACTAAGCCTGAGTGCTAACATAGGTTCAGTTTTCATTATCATCATGTGATTATCCATTTTACTGCATTTAACTGATAATACAACTACCAGCTCACCTTAAAAGAATTAGCTTGGAGGTTTCATTGCTTTCCAAATGGAATTCATTTGACAAACAAATGACAATTAGCCCAGTCTCCCTGTTCTGTGTCAGGATGGTTTTTGATTGAACCTAGACCAATTTACAATTTTTAAATGAGTTTAGACATTTACATTTAAAATGTCTAGAGGAAATTAGCCTTGGGACATCTAACAGCCAAAATGCTTTTTGAAGTTGATTATTATTTGATCTAGTACCCTCTACCTGTACATTTTGTTCTGACTTCAAAGTTTTGGAATGAAAATGCCACCTACACCTCAAAGCACAGGGAAAAACTTAAAAGCAGTTTTACTCATTATGTTATGCAAAGAAACCTATATTTTAATATTCGTTTAATATGGTTAGTTAGCTTTAATGACACCAGTTTGACAGTGTCATAGTTTTCGAATATAAGACATTGATTGAAGTTTCCTGTGCTTGCCGGCGTTTTTGTGTAGAACGAAAGAATATCTTTTGAAGGTGAGATTCGTATGCCCCACACTACCATTCTGCCACAGATAGAAATGTAATCATTTACAGATGAATGCATGCCTTTGTACGGAGTCAAAAATATGTTGTCATTTCTATATTATTCTGTGTATCAAAATCTTTATTGATGTTTGTTTTCCTGCATATCAAATTTGTCCGACTATGTTTGTACTGGGCTTTAAAGCAGGAGGGTCTCCTTAGGAAAAAAGACTTGTCAGTAATTCCATTATAAATATGCAGGCTCAGATAACACAGCCATGAAAATTGGGCTGGAATTAGGCACATGGTGTCTCAGCCTTGAGGTAATTTGGATCATACTATTTTTATTTTGTGTTATTAATTTATGCATTTTGGTAAAGTTAGAAAACTGTACATTTGGCCACTGTAAAATTGTGAGCAGAAACATAAGTGCTATTGCTGTTTTGGGTTCTGGATCCTTAAAGCTCCACTCGACGCCTATGGGAGACTTTCAGAAATAGGTTTGTTCTTTTTTTAACAAAATCACTATTTGGCTTTCAAGCTTTTCAATGCTTGGAAAGTATTTTTAAAAACCATTCCATGGTTTTCTGATATATGTGCTTTGTATGAGCATATACTGTTATCCACAAAATATGCTCAATATGCTCTTACAGAATTTTCTTAGAACAATTCATACAAACCCTGCTCAACAGGGTTTTAGGCTTCTGATGCCTTAAGTGTCCAAATGCAGCTGAAAGCAAATGAGATTTTGGGACAGTTTCTGTTGCAAACCTAGGTCTGAACTATCAGCACTGGTGTTTTCTTGTCCCATGGTCACGTTTGCAGAATCAAAGGAACCAGATTTTCATAAGGAAGTGGAACAATCTTGTGTCATTATACCACTATTGCCTAACTTTAATGTAATGTCAACTCCAGTGGGTGCCTATATGGTATCAGTTGCTGGTGTTCAAAAAATGCTGCTTTGCTACATGAACAGAACACTGACTTTTGTCAGTCCTCAGCTAATGTCCAGGCCCAACTGGGATCCTTAGATAGGTGCTTCTCCACATTTGTCATCTGAGAGAATTGACCCAGTAGACTTAATTATCAAGCCAAATCCGTACATTGTAGTGGGGGATGTTGATTTTAGAGGGAGCAAGGTGATGATGATAAAACCCTACTTCTTGCCTACTTAGAGCAGCCTCCCCAAAATACAGTGATGATGGGATCACTTCTTTGACAGTGGTAGCAAAGTGTTCTTCCCACTTGGCACAGGGAAGGATTTAGGATAAACTTATGCTTCTTTTGCCTACTCTGGAGACTCATCTCTTGCCTTACTGGATTTATGCATTCCTTCCACAAGGCATGTAATTCTGCTTCTGCTCTGGATGTGAAGCCTAAATGCCTAGCTTAGATTTCTGAATTTTGATGTGAGGGCTCAGTGATTAAAAAGTAAGCGTGTGAGTCTGTCGTGGTTTAAGCCCAGCCGGCAAACCGGAACCACGCAGTCGCTCGCTCACTCCCCCCACTTCCTCGCCCCTCTCCCAGAGGGATGGGGAGGAGAATCGAAAGAATGTAACTCCCATGGGTTGAGATAAGAGCAGTCCAGTAACTAAGGTGTAACACAAACCACTGCTGCTACCACCAGTGATAATAATAATAAGGGCAATAACAAGGGAAGAGAATACAACCGCTCACCACCCGCCGACCGATACCCAGCCCAACCCAAGCAGTGATCCAGCCCTTCCTTGTAACTGCCCCCAGTTTATATAGTGGGCATGACATGCTGTGGTATGGAATACCTCTTTGGTCAGTTTGGGTCAGGTGTCCTGTCTCTGCTTCCTCCCGGCTTCCCCTTCTCCCTGGCAGAGCACGAGGCTCACAAAGTCCTTGGTCAGAATAAACATTACTGAGCAACAACTAAAAAACATCGGTGTTATCAGCACTGTTCCCAAGCTGAAAGTCAACAACACAGCACTGCACCAGCTACTAAGAAAGAGAAAAAAAGACTGCTACTGCTGAACCCAGGACAATTTAGTAACTAAGGATGCTTTTGGACTTGAATCTTAGCCTCCTATAAGTTAGTCCTTGCAGAGGGCAAAATCTTTGGCCTGAAACATTTCCTTGAGGGAAGATGTATTAGAAATAGAGAAAATGTAAATCAAATAATGACCTGGGAAGAACCCTTGAGTAGACTGTGTCAGGCCTGCAATGACAGGGGCTTGAAAATGTGGGCAAATTTCATCAGATCCAGGTCTGTCTCAAACTGGATCATTGCAATCAGTTCAAAGTGATGATGCCAGAGTCTTTCAGAAATAGTTATTTATATGTTTTCTGTTTGTGCTATATTGTAAAATATGTGCAAGTGTGATAAATACACTTCAGGTTTGCTTGTCAGGCAAACAAACACCCCAGGGATGGAGGTCAGAGACCAGCTCTCCCAGGAAATCTTCAACTATTAAATTCAAAATCTGTGATTTCCTACAGCCTAAAAGACACATCTTTCAAAGTAGATACTAAAATCCTCAAGTATGCAAGTGAGAGTCTCTATAAGCAAGGGAAGTGCAGTGGGTGGACTGAAGGCACTGGAAAATCAGAGCGACTAATCCCTCCAGTATCATCAGTTAGAAAAACACTGGCTTTGCATTCCAACTAAGAGAACAGTTGGGTTTCTCCCTTGGGAAACTCTTTTGCTTGTAGCACATGCAATGAATTCTGATTAATTTTAACAGTTTCTTGGAGAATTTATGTCTGATTTGTGGTTTGGTTTTAGTTTGCATGAAAATTTGGATGTGGAGAAATGGCACATGCAGTGGTGTTCCTTTTCTGGCAGCTATAGGTTGTAGCCACATGAGCATGAAATACTCTGTGTCTTCAGGGGTTCCTGCTCTCATCGCTCACCCATTGGTACTCATATTTGGAGCATGAAGGAATGAGGGGGCAGAGGTTGAAGATATTTAGATGTAAACAATGTGCTGAAGAAAGAAAAGGCAGTGTTTTTAGAGGAAAAAACGTGGTGGATTCCCAAAGCATGGATCTCGTCAACTTCCATGCTCAAAGGCACTTTTCTCCAACTCCCTGTATCAGCCCAACCTCACACAAGAGCACAGCACTCTCAGAGAGGGAAAGAGCCGGATGACTTAGTGTTTCTAGAAAAAGTTGGGATTCATTTATTATTTATAGATTTCATTTTGTACATATCTTTAGGGACATTAAGAGATTAGTAGTCATGCAGTTTGTTCTGAGCATTAATGCTAATCCTCAAAGATAGGTGAAGGGTAATTTCATTAGTTGTTACAAAGGTTTGGGATAAAACTAACCGTTCACTCAACAGTTTGAAAGGAAACGTTTAGTGCCGTGCTCTCTGCTCTCCCAGCAGGCTCTGCCTCTCACAGGAATGTGTCAGCACAGACTGGCATCTCGGCAATAAGGGCATATTCCTCAGATGTTCTTTTATGTAAAATAGGTGGGTCCCTCTTTCCTAAATATGTCATATAAAAACATTGTCTCTGGCATGACAGACAGTGGTTCAGGAAGGGAAGCTAATCTAGGAAATAAAGGGATACAGACTATTGATGCCAAAATCAGCAATTACATTGTATGAGATCTCATGAATAATTCCTGAGCTCTGATTTAACATTAATCTGAGTGTTTAGTACAAAGCTGGGCCGACACCAATAAAATGCTGACTGATTTGTTTTAAAATAGTGCTCCTTCAGGCTTCACTACACTGCTCTGAAAGGAATGCTTTTAGGTAACACCTCAACCTTGCCTCTGTAAAACACAGACAGATGCACTCATGTGACTGCATGCTCGAACTCTACCGTTATTTTTTCCCCTTCATTTTGGGCTGAAACCTTTTCCAAGTGCAGTGTTTAATATTAGCCATGATTTAGGCAAGTGGGCTTCGTAACACAGAGCTTTTCCTCCCAGGGAAAATCTTACGAAAACAATACTCCTTAGTACTGGATGCTGATATTTGCTACATATGTGTATTTCAGGTACAAACAGGAAGAGACTTTGTGGGATGAATCAAGCAGGAAACTATCCAACCAAACCTTAGGAGAGTTCAGTGTGTTACAGCTGCTTCTTCATCATTACATAATGTCATTTTTCAGTGAATGGCGAAGGATGATAAACAAATAGGTGAGTGCAGAAGTGATGACCATCTCAGGAGACACCATGCACATGTTCTGAAGCACTGCCAGCTGTGCCCAGGGAATGCTGTACTTGGAAGCATCTCCCATCTTGTTCACAGCTTCTGCTTCTGTAATAACAGCTTTGCTGCTTAATAAGGATAAAGCACTAACTGGATACATTCATCTCATCCATTGGCACAGCGTGTCTGTTCTATAGAAGCCCTCAGCCTGGGTGCTCACACGTATCCCCTCTGTGATCTGTTTAGGAGATAGGAAAAAAGGTGGTACTGTATAGAGAGCCACAGTTTGAGCCAGGATGGTCATTCTGCAATGGTACAAGTCTGAGAATGGTTTGAGTATGAGAAGAAATCACTGGTGTATGTCTTTCCTAACATCACATTGAAAACCATTTCTTCTAAACACCCATTTCAAAACAGGACAAGTCAGCATTCTCAATAATAAGTGACACTAACTCACTGTTACCTTTTGTATACCTACTTGCTATCAAGTACAGCAAAAGGAATTAAGTTGTATAAGGAGCATATGTTTTCCATAGCTATGTTGGATTGTTCCAGACATAGTGGATTTAATGGGTAGCTGTATGTCGTATATATCTATATGCATCAGGAAAACAACAGCAATAGATTAGGTTGCTTGGGAAGTTGTCGAATCTTCATAATAGAAGATTTGAGAGAGTTTTGAACTTTTTTGTTACTGCTTTTTTGGTTGGTTTGAGGTTTTGTTTGTTTTAAAAAAGCAAAAAAGCAAAATAAGCACCTAAATATCTTGTTTCTTCTTCATATATTTGTCTATAGAACTGCCCGGACATGACTGAGTACCCTGGAACTAATAGTGTGTGGAGTCTCCCCATTCCTAATATCAATATTTACGTATTATGCACAGTGGTTTGCATTTCTATTGATATACTAACCTATTCTGTCTTGTCTGATCATCACAGCGGGAGGGAAGGACAATAAAATGAAGCAGGAATATAAAGCAATCTGCTATTTTAAGAGCTTTCTAAAGGGGTAAGAAAGGAACCGTTTCTACTCAGTAGCTATTGATTAACATGGAGTGTAAGTGATGTACTGTGAGGGAGGAGAAGGATAATACTGTAAGCTAGTATGCTGTCTAGGGTGCTGCCCTTCACCTTCAGTATTCATTCACTGTTCACACTGTTTCCTCACTGCCTGCACAGAAATCATGGCGTAACAACTGAGGATAAAGCTCCACCTGCAAAAAGAGATGGTTTTCTTGCTTAACTTCTTTGAAGCTTTGTTTCCAGTTTTGCAAACGGAAACTGTACTTTAGTGGAGCATCCCTGCCTTTTTTGAGACTTAGGAAGGAATGAGCATGGTGCTGAAGTGAGCTGACAGGTACATACTGCGCTTGGTACTTGCACATCCATTTCTAGCTGGCCTGACTTGCTCAGAGTGTTTCCTGCCCAGGAGGTGTTTCAGGGCTCTCAAGAGCTCCAGCATATGATGTTCACTCACACCAGCAGAAATGTCTCCTCTGGGGCACATGAGAGTATTTTTTATTGGCAAATGACAGCTTGGGAGGAGGTAGCTTAGCAATGGTGGGAATGGGATTGAAAATAACTACTGTTCTTGGGGATAATCCAACTGTAGGGCAGGGACTGCAGGTCATGGGGCTTTTAACATCTTTCTAGAGCTGTTTGATGGTGTAGCTCTCCCTCTCTTTTTATACAAATGATTCTTACTATTATTTTCCCCATTCTTGACTTGATAAAGCAGCCTCTGGACTGATCCAAGTTTTATCTCTTGATAAAATTCCCTGTAGTTCTGTTACATTAGAAGTTCCATAATAAGCAGTATCCTAAATATCATCTATAACTAGTGGCATACCCTGGCATTTGGGAAAATCCCAGCACTAATAATTACCCCATGCGATCATCACAGGTATGCAAGAACAAGCTGTGTAATCCAGGAGAAGGAGAAAAGCCTACAGTTGCCAACAATTACACTTAAAATTCTTTATACATTTCAAGTGTGTAGTTGGAATAAAGGTAGTTGAGTAAATGCAGTGACTGTTACCCAGGGAAAAGTTTAGACATTAAAATTAATGAACAAATGTATGTTTGTAGTTTGCAAAATGGAAGAATATATGGTGTCAGAAGAGGTTTTATCTTCTGTATAGGTGTTTTTTTTTTTAAATGTAATAAATACAAAACAAATAGCACTGTCTTATCCAAGGGAATATTGAAATCCATTAGGAATGCACATGGAATAATCCGATTCAACAAGTCAGTGTATTTCTCTCAAAAACATAATATCGGTACTACATTGCGCGAGATGAAGGTTAGATTGCATTTCTTGCCAGTGCAATAATTCCCACATCATAAATTCTGATGAAATTATATCAATATATAAAGCAAATGGATGTCTGACCCACCATCGTTTTCTAGTTCTCAGATGTAAAGCTGACATACAAGTAAATCCCCAGCTGCTTTGTGCAATACTATTACAACTGTGCCATTGCCTGGGAACTGTTATTAGCTATCTTGACCAGAAGCGGCTGTTAGAGTTTGTGGTTTCTGCTCTGAATATTAAACTTTGGCATACAAGAGTCCTTATTGTGGGGAGCACTTGGAAATGCTAATACTAAATTGCTCTATATTTGCAGGATTTGATTGCTTCAGATGATACAGGTCTAGCTGGTGGGCCTCTCTTACTGCTTGTATTTCCACATTATAAATCATTCCTTTGACAGGATATCTGCCATAACCAGTTCTCAGTTTCCATAGTATCCTTCTTTATATTACAGCTGGCAAGTAGTCTTTTGGGCTATGCAGGTTTTGCATAACTTTCAAGAATAAAAGTAAAATTGAAGCTTATATATATATATATATATATATATATATATACACACACATATATATCCTAATTTTTATATCAAATGCCAGTGAATATGTGAAGCTAAGATATGGGGTACAGGTTTGGAAAGAATGCATGCTATCTTCTCAGTAATGTTACATTTTAGCAGCCATGGTATGATCAAGCTCCAGCATGAATGACTGAACTTAAAGGACCCTGCAAATGGCCAAAAATGCTTAGGGTAAAGCAAACCCAACATATTATTATTAGTTCTTGACATCGTAAAGCCTTTTAGAGGAATAAAAGGCTTACTGTTGATCTTGCAGGTCAGCTTGGAGTAAAAGGCTTGGGCAGTCTGTGACAGAAGGAGTTATGTTCATTTAGGATATTCTGTTAAAGCAGCATAATATTCTCAGAAATAGAGAGGAAAATCATTAGAGTTATGCTCCTCTGGTCCTTGAAGGATAGTACTGTTAAATTGGGAAAAAAATAATCAAAAAGAATTATTGTCCATGATCTTAGAGTTAAAACTTAGACTATAAACTATTAAATACAATTTCACAGTTTTTAATCGTTGTTAATGCAGAGGCTTGGATAACTCTTTGCAGCTCATTATGCCTTTGTGATATTAAGACCTCAATGATGTTTAACCCACTATCATATAAAAATGCCTCAATAGGTCTTTAAGAATTTATATGAGATATTGAAACTTCCCAAGTTTGCTTTCTTTTAAACTTCCAAATGCTTCCCATTAACATGGGATTTCAGACCACTTCAGGAAGTTCCTGAATACTGAATTATTGACTATATCAGAAATACCCCCATTGCTTTCCAGGAAGTCACAGTAGCAATAATATGCTCCATCCCTGACAGTGTTCAAGGCCAGGTTGGACAGAGCTTTGGGCGACATGGTCTAGGGTGAGGGGTTAGAACTGGATGATCTTAATGTCCTTTCCCACCCTAACTGTTCTATGATTCTATGAAGTATCTGGATGTACAATCAACAAGTAATGTTAAACGCAAAGATTTTAATAAAATTTTCAAAAGGGAAGGTTTTTCCCATACGTTTCCAGGGAGAATGGAGGGGATTTTTTCCATGGAAGAATGCTTCAGAGAGTATTTCTGCTTTTTGAGAGTTGTGTATGAAATTAGGAAAAAAGTTTTAAATTATAAACAGAACTTTTGTACAAGAAAATCCTCAGGGTTTTTGGTGTTTTTTTTTTTTTTTTTGTTAATTGCACTGGAATTGTTTTTCTATGACAAAGTTTGCTTTTAAGAAGAAAACTCACTAAAGTAAAAATTGCATTTTTAAGAAAATGAAACATTACGAAATAAAACATCAGTGTTTTCTAATTGCAAATAATCATTTCCTTTCAAAGAAAGATTAAAATCTATTAAAATCTATTGGGAGTACATGGGGTCCTAGAGCATTCAAATACCGACACAGTAGGAATCTGACTCATCAGAGATTTTCCCTGTGTGCTTATTGAATGATGGAAAAAGCAGAGGGGAACAAAATCATCCATCAGCACACCCCATAATTCAGCACGCAAACCCAGGTCTTCCCAAATCTCAGCAAAGACTTAACAGTGAAATACTGTAGCAAGGTCTCATGTTACCAGGATTTATTGTTTTCCAAAATATATTAGGGAGCATTGACCAGAATGCCAAGAAGTTCAATTAGAAATAAGAGAAAGAAAAGGACACCTGTTAGTTTTGAGGAAAAGCATTTGGGGACTCAGCTGGCTTTTCAGTGGGCTTATGTCTCAGGGGATTCTGCTCTTTAATAGGTAAGGTTGACCCAAGGCAAGTTAATGTTATATTGATATCAGAAAGCTCAAGCTGGGGTTGATTTTGACAATGTGATAAAGGGCTCGCTAAGCGTAAGTGGTCTGTAGAGGATGCAGGTTTACTCATGTGTCAGGGCTATGCTTGTCTGTCTTCTGCATCTGGGAGGCGTATCTTAGTATGTCACCTACTTCTTTTCACAACATAATATGTGCCTGGTCTTGCAGCCATTACTGGTGTTAGTTTGTACACATGCCTAATGCAGCACCGTTCAATCAGTAAATGCTATTTGCCTGAAGCCCAGTAGTGGCCAGCAAGGCTAAAGTTGCATCCTAAAACTCATCCCTGTACAGCAGGTCAGCATTAGGCCTGGTGCTAATGCCTACGTCATGCTGGAGTCATACAATGCTAGCCCTCAGCACAGACATTAGCATAAGCTGTGTCTAAAGCAGGGCCACTCTCCTTCTGATCTTAATTCTGACACATTACACTGAGCAACACAAGTTAGGATATTATGTACCTACATTTCAAGTGCCCAGCATAAAATTCCTTGCTGGTATGGATGGACACTCCAGTTAAGCCCAATGCTGCTATGTTGCTCTCTGACAGAGTCTGATGATAAGCAAAGTTGCATCTGGTCCTCACTTTTATTTGGGGGAAAGCTGGAATTTGCCTGTATCATCTACCTGAGAATTTACACACTGCAGCATCACTAACAGCTGTAAATAGAGACACAAAATTTCTTGTGGTATGAGCATCATTACGTATCCTATGAGATGTGAATGCCATGCTATATTAGATGAAGATTGCCTCATTCATGAAAGAATAAGGGACTGTGGCAGTGCAGGGCTAAAATTACTTGTGGCAATTTCTTATCCAAATTGAGATTTTCCCTGGACTCCATGACCCAGCTGTTTGCTTATTCCATCACTGCTAAAGATGTTAACTGCACGGCAGAGCAGCCTGCCTTGTATAAATGCTGCTGATTTTCCAAAAGCTGAGTATACAACGAACAATGTCCAGGGGCAGCGAGGTAGACTCCACTATTGCAGAAAATTCGCTGAATCAATTTCTGCTGAGGCAGATTTATGCACATGGCTGGTGTATCAATTTACTTTGGATCCTTTCTGCACTCACAAAGCAATAATAACAGCTACAGAGAGAGAATCTAGGCTATCTCAACAGTCAGGAATAATGACTCTGGGTGTGATACTACAGCTACATGTGACTGTAGCAGCTCCCTCTTTTTCAGCAATTGCCCCAAAAACTTTGCACATACAGATGTGGGCTGGGGAAAAGACACATAAAGAATATGTGTAGCCCCATTGCATGTTTATTGGAGACCTTTAAATCCGTAAGTGGTGAGAAATCCCAAATCCCATCCCAGCTGGC